TTTTTTTTTTTTTTTTTTTTTTTTTTTTTTGTACCGGGGATCAAACTTGGGCCGTTGTGCTGTGAAGCAGGTGGTGGAACCACTGAGCCAAATCCCCAGTCCAAGGTTATTCTTTTAAAAATACTTATTGAGGTCCTTTTCTGTCATGCCTCATTGTAGGTACATATTTTATTAATTCTCTTACATAAAATGAACAATTACTTATTTTCATACTGGCAAAAGAAATCAACTTGTTCAATCCATGTTTAAAATGTGCCACATTGTTATGGCTTAGTCAGACTTTAAATTTAGCTTAAGATTTTTTTTAGTTATTCATGCTAGTCATGAAATAGATTATTTAGACCTGAATTTTATATAATGGTTTAAGCCCTCAAAATAAAGGTTTGGCTTTCTTGCTAGTTGTGATTATAACATTAAAAACAAGTTCACACTTTGTTTCCACATGAAAACTTTTAGCAGAGTATCTTGAGATTATCTACTTACCATACTTACTACACTCCTTTTAATTAACCAACCTCATTGGTATTTACAAAGTTCCTATTAGCTCCAAAAAATTATACAGCAATAAGATAAATACATAAAATGAATTAATTTACAGAGTATACAAAAACCACATCAAATCTGAAATTTAGAGTCCCTTTAAGATTGTAGGATCTTATTTTACTAGCAGAAGCTATCTGGAATTAGCCAGCCCTATTCTTTGGCTACTCTCCCTGCCAGTGCCAAAGATATTGGGATGGTATTTATAAATTCGGCATTTCCAGCCTAGTTTCTAAAGAATCCTAGACTTCCAGGCACTGAGGATCTGTATAGGTTCATATGGCTGGGTCAGTCATCACGCTGTCTTTTCCTATCAGTGAAAGCATTTCAGATTTAATTGAGGATGTGGAGTCTAGTCTGTAACCAGACTGCAAAGTCACTGCTGTGCGGACTCTCCTGAGCTTACCTCTGTCTGTATAGGCTGTCAGAGTCTAGGGCTTTGTGATAGTGACTTCTAGGTGGGGAAGTGGAGGCTGGGGCGTGCTGAGGCAGTGTGTGTGTTGTGTTTTGTAGTCAGGGCCCTTGGATTCCCCAGTAGAAACTGTATCTGCTTTTCTTTTAGGCTGCCCAACTTATGAGAAAGTGGAGAACTTGGAGAAGAGCCAAGAGTACAACCACAAAGACCCAGCAGAAAGAGATTTAGACCTTTCTAGTTTAGTTTTGAAGAAATGAAAATTATTTCATTTTAAAAGGGAATTGAATAATGAATGGTCTTCCAGAAACTAGGACTCACTATATTGGGGTTAATGGCCAGATTTCATGCAAAAACTGTTTAAAGGGGTGAGGCTTTTCATCTTTAACATGAAGAATATAATAGACCAAAACAGGAAAAAGCAGCAGTGAAATACTAAACGTATTTAATCAAAGGAATGGCCATTCCACATGCTGTTATTTGCAGGCAATGTGACTTCTTAGTTGTGTTTGATGTATTTAAGTATTACCCAACAGAACTACTTAAATGATTTGTCTTTTTAATTCTGTGATCCTGGGGTTTATCTTGAAATTATATCATAAGGTAAAAATTTCAAACAATTATTTTGAATTTTAGGCTCCTCACCTGATGGTGCCAGGAGAGGAGCTACTTTCTAATAGTAATGTCAAGGAAGTTAGTGTCAAAAGAGGAACATTTATTCCAGAGGTCATGAACTCAGAAAGTTACAGGAGTCCATGGGCATTCTAAAGGAGTGAAGCTAACAGCAGACCTACACATGGGGCATTAGGGAAAATGTGATGTTTTACAAAATTAAAAGGGGCAACCACTACAAACTTATTATCATATTGACAGATGTAGCTTTCTCATAAAAAGCTGGAAATTGAGACTTTTACATGAAATTCTTTTTCACATTGATAAAGTAAAGTTCTACCGGCAGAACAATATACAGTCTGAAAGTTAGAAACCCTTAGTTTGTCCTTCAGCTCACTAGTTAACCATCACACTAATTAACAAACAAAACAGAACTAATTGAACACTAAAGTTTAGGACAGTTAGTTTACTAACCCTTTGTAAAGCTTAATTAAATACCCTTCCAACCATATGAATCTTTGATCTCTGTTTCTTTTCTTTTGCTCCCCATATTGGGTGGCTTATTCACACAGGAGGTGAGAATTTAAATTACTATTTCCTTAAGTAACATAATTTTATGTAAAAGCAACACTCGGTAAAAACACAACTCTTGTTTCTACACTAACGATGCTACTGATGATACTAAATTTTTAGAAATGCACATATATAGTATTGATTCGTTACTCTGGACCTTTGAACTAACATTTGTTTGTAACATTGGCTGCATGAGGCATGCTTAACTTAAAGGCTGACTTACACTTTACTATTTGCTGACATATTTTATTTCTCTTTTACAAAATACTTTCACATAACTCACCTCAACCTTGGGTAAGGACAGCCAGAGTTTTGAAATCCCCTTCCTTTCAGACAGGAGAATATGCTACAGATGAAGAGGAGGATGAGGTGGGACCCGTGCTCCCCGGTGGTGATATGGCCATTGAAGTCTTTGAGCTGCCTGAGAATGAAGACATGTTTTCCCCATCAGATCTGGACACGAGCAAGCTCAGTCACAAGTTTAAAGAGGTAAGATATGCCACTGCCTCACAACATGCTTACCTATACTGGTCCATTCTGTTATTAGGGATAACTTTCTGTTTGAATAATAGGAGTAAGAGAGTAAATGACAATCAATTTTCAAATGAAATCTTACAATAACAGATTGCCTTGAGTCATTTCCAAGCAGACTTCACTTAGAACTCATTCCATTATCACTAGTTTAAATACTTGTTATTTATCATAGTTGCTGTTAACCAATAATTTCAAGCTGTAACTTAAATGTGCAAGTTCGTCATGAGTTCAGTTTATATTTTTTCAATTTTACAGAGGTTTTGGTAGCTGATGATGAGTTTTCTTTAAGGTGCAGTAGCTTTTCTAAAGCATTTCTTTTTGTATTTTCTAAAATAGAATCCTAATAAGAATCAGATGGCATACCCAAATGTTTTAAATGAAGAGTTTAATGAACAGCATTGATAGAAGTAACAAGGGATGGTGAAATGTTCAGGGACTAGCAGCAGCAGGAAGCTGTCCCCATCCTTTGGTTTAATAGGTCAAGAGAAGAAATGCAGTTCTCTTTGCTGGAGTGCCATTCAACACCTACAGCTTTATAAAAACTGCATCCCTGGGAAAGGGTGATACACATCCCATACCCTACCCTGATTCGCCTCCTACTGAGGCCCCGGCAAAACTCAGACAAGGAGATGTGAGTGGTGCAGTCTCCAACCCTGAAGGTCAGACACCTGCAGCAAGAAGCCATCAGAGAAGGTCCGGGAAAGACCTGGGTACAGATATGGCTGCCCATATGAACTCGTCTTCCAAATGAGATTCCCAGAACCCCAACGTGTAAAGCTCAAACAGTGATGAACAGGTCTCAGAGCATTGACATTTGTTTGTGGGGCAACATCCTCCTATGATGTCATCATTTACAGCAATTTCATTTCTTACACTTTCTGGATTAACTGATATTTTTAACCCAAAAAGCAGTGCAGGAAAAGGTAAGTTCCTCTATGGAAAGAATATGGAAGAGTATTTAGGTAGGAGTATGTAGACCACTTTCTTTAAGAAGGTGCCTTGAATGTTTTAATTCTCAGTCCAACTTTGACTAATATTGGAGGCAGCAATATCACAATAGTATTGCCCAGGCAAAACTCTATTCTTCAATGAGTAGGACCCCTTAGTCCCTAGTAGACAGGGGAGCCAGAATAACGGACCATATTGTTTTATAGAAGCTAGAAATAAGATATGAAAGGTTATATCCTCCAGTTTCTGGATTGAGCCAAACATTAAATGGTCCATATTTTCAGTGTGTCTTGTAGTATGAGCAACTCTGATCTATACCAGACCAAAGGTTAGCAAACTATGAAACAGTAGCCAAATCTGGGTTACTATACCATACCTTTTTTTTTTTTTTTTTTTTTTTT